GTCTGCTCAGTCCTCAGGACGCAGATAAAAGACATTCCAGCTCCTGACAAACTGCCTGAAGAGATGGTGGAGCATTCAGCATCTCCCAGGGTTGGGTGTTTGTGTAGAGACACAGTTGGACAGTAAATCTGTCTGCTGCAGTGAAGTGTCTTGAACTAAGTATCTGGGAATCAGCAATGAGGTTATCCCTGGTCCTACACACACGCAATCCATGGCAGACAAATGCTGCCGTGAAACATTGCATCGCATCTGGTTTTCAGAAATAACTGCAATAATGAGTTAATTCATTAAGGAAAGCCTATAATGTTTAGTGGAAGCTGCACCCAGAGCCAGGACCGTCAGCCAAATCACCCCGTTTCCAGCAGGCTGAGTCTCACCCAAGGTTTGGCAGAACAAATCCACTAAATCCACTTAAAATGCTTGAGGTGGGGGAAATCCTACCATAAAAAAGTTACCTTGGATAAATCATATCCTTACATGAACACTGTGCCTCGGTTTTCTTCACAACAAATGAGGGTGACAGAAGTGTCACTCAACTAATTCCCAGCAGTGCTGTAAAGCTCAATTAATTAATATTTACAAAACCACCATGCACAATTCTTCGAGGGGAATTGCTGCTGAAGAACTGTTGTGATTGTTGCTTATTCCCCAGGCACCTGAAAGAGGGAACGTGGCAGAATTCCAGAAGAAATATCCTTGTGAGCTCAGACAAAAGATGAGCCAATCTAACAGTCAGGGTGCTGGTGCAGAGAAGATTCATTACAAACCTGGGGGTCTTAGATATGAGCTCAGATCACAGGCAAGCCTCCAGGAGCTTTGTCTGTCCCATGAGGTAAAAAATTATGGAATGGTTTGGGTTGGAAGGGACCTTTAAAGGTCATCTTGTACATCACACACCTGGGTAAAACCAGCTGGGCTCTGCCGGAAGAGAAGAGCCCACGTGGAGGGCATGTCCAGAACACCTCGGAATCCCTCATTCCTGGAAGTGTCGAAGGCCGGGTTGGACAGGGTTTGGAGGACCCTGGGATTGTGGAAGATGTCCCTGCCCAATGCAGGGTAATGAGACGAGCTTTAAGATCACTTCCAGCGCAAACCATTTGGAAAAAGCCAAACTCACAGCCTTCTCCTCACGCCGCCCTCCTGCCTTTACCAGCTCCTATTTTCCCGAGGAGAAACCACAGCTTTTAAAGAGCTCTCGTGAGGATGCTTTCCCGGTTAATCCATTCTCGTGTCTAACATCCATCTCCCGTTAGCAACAGGTGCCGGCAGCTCGTTTGGAGCAGGGAACACGGGGACGACGGGGCTCCAGGTGATGCCTGGTCCCGGCGGTGGCAGAGGGAGGCGGACGGGAAGCTGGTCCCTCGGGGGGGCAGCAGGGCTCGGGACTCTGTTGTCCCCCTCTGTCCCCCCCGGTCTTCCTCTGTCCCTTCCGGTCCCACTCTGTCCCCCCCGGTCCCCGCAGCCCCTCCCGCCGTCGAGGGCGGACTCTGG